TAACTCGTTATGTTGTACACTGAGTTTCAACACAAACTATGTCAGTAGTTATGACGTAGCTAAGGTTTCCTTGGTTACGTCATAATTTGTTCGACAATTTGAATATAGCTGAGTAGAAGATGATCTTTGTTGGAAATGTATTCATCACCATTGTTCCGATCGTACACAATATCAATATTATTCATCACCATTGTTCCGATCGTACACAATATCCGTTGTTAACAATATGTAGTGTCGCCGTAAGCTTCTTTGTTTCTTACCGTAATATTGATTGCTTAAAAGTCGACCCACAGTCAGATTGATTGATATTTTTAAAAGCTTTTACCCTCGCCTCCCTCCGGGTTCGTGTGTGAAATCGGGTCAGTGTTTCTGTGCGCGTATCTCGAAAAATAATAGATCGACGTACATGGAAATTTTACATAAGATGGAACGTCAGTATGGAACAGTTCTCCTCAAATTTGGTTCAGATCGAAATACGGACCCGGATTCTGGATAACTTTGAAGCATTTTTTGAAATAATGAGGGGATAGGACGTTTTCGCAGTTTTGAGTTAATGGTTCTGTAAAATTTGACCGGATTTTTACCAAATTTTATGGGCACATAAAGGTTGAGACTCTTCACCACGCTACAAAAAAAATGATCCGAGATGGATTTTCTGAGTTTTCAAAAGTGAAACTTGACGTTATCCAATATAAACGCATGCAATCTGGAAAAGGAGCGGCGGGACGAAAGAATGCAGTCCCTCTGATTGCGATACATAAAATATTCCATTTGAACCCTTCTAATCCACTCTTAGGACTTGCTTTATCTTTTTTACATCATTCATCGCTTATATATATAAGCTGCGATGCAGAACTTTTTATTTTGCTGGTAGATTTCAAATATTTATACGTACGTGCGGTACACATATACCTGTAGCTTGTCGCTCTCCATTGAGATTTAAAAACCGTGCATTCATTCGTTTCGTCTCCATCACGAGGGACAGACATCGGAAGATGGATTATTGGAGTGCCGACGATGCTGCGTGTGTGTGTGTTTGTAGTAATATTTTTTTTACCCTTAACAAGTACACGAGTCGTATGTATATTTGTGTTACCACGTTGCCCTAGCGACAAACACGAATAAGCAAACGTACGTTTTGCAATGTCAAAGTTTCGTAGCAGGAATCAGTTTGAGGAATAGACGAAGAATGCAAACATGTGATGATAATCTAGCGATATAGCAGACAGCACTGATGAAATGCATAGGTTTATGTATTTGCTTGTTTGTTATTTGAATTTCGCGCAAAGCTACACGAGGGC